TCTTAAGATTAAGAACACTTTGAATAGAATTCAAGACCTTAAGAACACTTTGAATAGAATTCAAGACCTTCTTAAGAACACTTTGAATAGAATTCAAGACCTTCTCAAGACCTTCTTAAGAACACTTTGAATAGAATTCAAGACCTTAAGAACACTTTGAATAGAATTCAACTTAAGAACAACACTTTGAATAGAATTCAAGACCTTCTTAAGAACACTTTGAATAGAATTCAAGACCTTCTTAAGAACACTTTGAATAGAATTCGAGACCTTCTTAAGAACACTTTGAATAGAATTCAAGACCTTCTTAAGACCTTCTTAAGAACACTTTGAATAGAATTCAAGACCTTAAGAACACTTTGAATAGAATTCAAGACCTTAAGAACACTTTGAATAGAATTCAAGACCTTAAGAACACTTTGAATAGAATTCAAGACTTATTTAAGAACACTTTGAATAGAATTCAAGACCTTTTTAAGAACACTTTGAATAGAATTCAAGACCTTTCAAAGAACACTTTGAATAGAATTCAAAACCTTTTTCACAGCAAGAAAGTATTTAGGAAAATTGTGTGCGCATGTTTCTGTGTGTCTGTTTCTGTGTGTGTGTATGTGTATGTGTGTGTGTGTGTGTGTGTGTCTGTTTCTCTGTGTGTGTGTGTGTGTGTGTGTGTGTATGTGTCTTTCAAAGATGACATCGTGGACTGTGCTGCTGTTAATCACACCACAGCTCTATAATGTGTTCTAATAGTTTCCCAAATGCTCTTGTATATTCTTCTCATCTTAGTGTGTGTACCTCCCAGTATTTGTTTCGGTGCTTTAAATAAAGACCGTGGGAGGCTTTGGCTGGAGATGTTTAGTTTACTACATAAAGTACAGGTATTTGTAGAGAAATGGGTCAGAAAGTGCAGAAAAGCTGATAAATTGAAGTACAATTACAACAGTCCAACAGCAGAGGGCGCCACAACATTCAGAAACTCACATAAAACACTACAGGTGAAAGAACATGTATTTAACAAACACATGTCAGAGACTTCCTGACAGACATTAACACAGTTATTCTTTACATCACAGGGTTTCTCAGGTTATGTTTAAATATGCTAATGAGACGTAATGCTATTTCTATGAGACATCTACAGACAGGAAGTAGTGACATAAACTCCTGGTGTGGATTGAGAGGCTTTCTCTCTTTCGCTCTGAATGAAGACATGCTCTAAAAAGCAGCAGCATATTAAAAGATGAAACCCTTATCATGGATTTGAACACAGGACATCAGTTCCTGCTTTCCATTCATCCCTCAGAACCAGAAGGAGCCGTCACTGAAGGCAGAAACCCTCTTAAAGAAGTCGAGTCATCTCCTCCTCCTCCTCCTCCTCCTCACCTGCCTGAGCTGCTTTCTACAGCAGCGTGCAATTCGACCTCTTTTTTGTCTTCTTCTTTTCCATCGGCGTTTTCCTGTTGATCTGTCTCACCAGGTCGTAGAAGATCTGCACAGAGACACCAGGTCGTTAGCTGTGGAGTGGTTAAAAGCTAAGCCCCGACATTATAACACTTTGGACGGAGAAGGTGAGGGAAATCTATCAGATGGAGCGATAACATATTCTCTGAGGATCCAGACAGAAGATTTATTATCTATCTACCTCTATCTCTCTATCTACCTCTATTTAACTATCTCTCTATCCATCTACCTCTCTATTTAACTATCTCTCTATCTATCTACCTCTCTATCTACCTGCCTACTAGGGCTGCTCGATTATGGCAAAAATCATAATCTCGATTATTTGGGTCAATAATTGATATCACGATTATTAAAAACAATTATCCATTTAGTTTGAAAACATCAATTTATTGGAGAATGTTTTTTGAACAGTATGTTTTGAAAAGTTGATTACTCCGAACTTTAAGTGTAAAAAAATGTATTAGTAAAAAAATAATCGATTTATTTCGATTACGTTGTTTTCGTAATCGTTGCAAGGCACAATTGCGATTGAAATACGATTAATTGAGCAGCCCTACTACCTACCAATATACCTACCTGCCTACCTTTTTGTACACAAGTATCTGTACTTCTACTTAAGTAAAGAGTGTGTACTTCTGCCACCTCTGCATGAGAGAGAGTGTGTACTTCTGCCACCTCTGCATGAGAGAGTGTGTATCCAGTAGCGGTGTTGTGTGAAGCGGCGGCAGCACGAACCTCATTAACGTTGATCTTTGATTTGGCGGAGGTCTCTAAAAAGGCACAGTTGCTCCACTGCCGGGCGAGGTTCTGCCCCTGCTCCTTCCCCACCACGCGCTCATCCTCCAGGTCGCACTTATTGCCCACCAGGATCATCGGCACCTGATGCATCATGGGAAATATCAAGGGGTTGTGAAAAGGCAATATTAGATAAGAGTCAACTTGAGTGTGAGTGCGAGGTGCAGCTCAGCATCCAACACGTGGTGAAGAACACGTATGAATAGATTATTGAGACCAATGTGGTTCCATGTACAAATGTATGAAAGAGAAAAGACAGCATCAGGTGTTATATCAGGTAACAGAGTGGGTGAGGCCCAATCCCAAACCACGCCACACACACTACCCCTAGACACACACTACCCCTACACACACACACTACCCCTCCACCCTAACCCCTACACCTCAGTTCACGCGGAGGGTCCGCCATATTGAGGGCTGTTCCAAAGCAACGAGTGTGGAGCGGTGTGGAGGGGGAGTGGGCTATCAAGCCCTCAAACAGCGAGTCTGCAGCGGTGCTGACTTGAGACCGGTCTCTACCTGACCGGAGTCACGCTGTGTGTGTCCGTCAGGAAACAAGCTGTTTACAAGTAGTTCCAGCAAACATCCACTGATAAACTGAGATGTTAACAACCTCATGATAACCTCATATGTTTTAACTTAGGATCATACCTGTGTCTAGTCTAGAAAAAGGTAAATGTGTGCATTTATTATAAAGTTGTGTATATTTACAGACCGTTGCAAAAACTAAGAAGCTTATAAACATCAGGTTTAAAACTAAAAGAGCTTTACAAAAAAGTAACACAATGAAAGATGTTAGGAGTTTTATTTGAGTTATTAATTTACATTTTTTGTCAAAGAAATGCTGATTTGAAACCGTTGTTACATACAGTTACAGCATTTCCTGTTTCTGCCGGAGAGAGGGGAGGCCGTCCCAAAGCTTGCTGCTGTATTTACTCCCTCCATCTGACAGGAGGGAGCCTCGTTGAGCTGCGAGTGTGGCTACAGACGGAGTTCACTCCGTCACGGAGGGATAGGGTCGAGGGAGTGGTTTGGGATTGGGCCAAAAAGTTGAGGTGCCCATCCACTTCCTGTATTTATAGGTGACATCATCAGTGACGTGCTGGGTTAGACCACGGATGGAAAGGGGTAAATTATGTAGTTTTTGATGGTGTTCTGTTGATGTAATATCGCAAATGTTTGTTAT